CGCGCCGGGGACCCGCCGAGGTGCTCCGAGGGGACCGGGACGCGCCAGGTGAGACGGCGCTGGCTCGCAGGGCGCAGGCGGGGGATCTGTCCCGTCGCTGGCGAGGGCTCGGCTAGTGCGGCCACTTGGACAGCAAAAAGGGCAAGTCTGCCGGGACTGGGGTGTGGGCGGGAGGCCAAGCGGGTGCGGGGGGACCGGGGAGGCGCTCCCCCAAACTCTCCACACCTTCGGAGCAGGGCTCCAAGACCAAGAGGATCGGTCAATGCCGGCAGACCAGGCTAGGCGTCCAAGCAAGGCCCTCGTCCTAAGACCCTGAAAGAGTCTGTGGCAACCACTCCTCCCCCCGCAGGGTTCCTCGTGAGCTCTCGGGGTCTCCGGCGCTCGAGCCCCGCCCGCGCCCCGCCGGTCCCCGGACTGCATCGCTAGGTTTGTGCCGGAGCTGCCCGGGGTTCTGGGCAGGGGGCAGGAGGAGGAGGGGCCGGAGGGATGTCTGCGGAGGGGACAGCTCTTGGCGCGCCGTCCCTCCTCTGTCCCAGGCCGAGGACCGGAGGCAGCGCCTCAAAGCCTCGGGTGCGGTCTGAGAAGGTTGAGAGCGACTTGCAGTGGTGGGTGGGGAAGCACCCCGGACCCGGTTTGTCCGGTCGAAGCCTGGTCCTTCAGTGCATTAGAAGAGTGGGACGGGAAGCGGCCTCCGCCAAGAGAAAGGGAGTGCGCTTTCGGTGACAACGTCTGGACCCGGTTCCCGCCCTAATCCCACCCCCAGGAGCGCTGCTTGTGAGGTTCCACAAGGACGAGGCGAGCGGCGGCTCAGGCTGCCACGCACGCATCGTTTGCGAGACGCGAAGGTAGGAAATGGTGGTCCGGGTGTGAGTGGCGGGGATGAGGCTGCTGGGGTCGGTGCGGTCTGGGAGGGTTTTGAAGGGGACGTCGGAGTGCCGCCACTGCCCCGCGGGTTCCCGCGTCCACCCAGGGCAAGTTCAGATCAAGTGGGAGTTCCTCAAAGAGCGCTTGATAAGAAATTAAGAGGAGGCCATCCATCAATGCCACTAGGTTTACAGACATGGACTCCTTATCTCGGCTTACCTGGAGCCTAGATGTTTGACTTGCATGATTCAGCACCCCCCCCCCCCACCCCGGGCTCCTTACTCACCTCAGCCCTTACTGGGGATTCCTGCCTCAACCCACTCCTCAGATCTTCTATTTCAACACTTAATTCTTTCCTTGGTGCCACAACACACATACACATGTCCACATGCCTTCTTCATGAGAAGAGGCTGGGACAGGAGTGCCTGACAGGGTCCCTGTAGCCAGCCAGAGCTGTAAACTTTGAATGGGATCAACCCCAACCAAAGAAACAAAATATTACATTCTAGTAGCTGTGTATCATCAATCAGAGCTCGTGGCAACTCCAGCCATGTCACCCATTCCCCCCTTTGTAGAGAATTAGGAGTCTTTCTGGGTTCCAGAAGATGGGGGAGGTGGGCAGAGGGAGGCTACAAGAGGGGCCACAGAGCACTAAGAAAGCACGTGACAACTTTGCTGAAGACCCTGTACTAGGCTGAATTTTCTTAAAGACGCGTAACTTTATTTCTTGCCCACCCCTCATACACACATAGGAACCCCACTTCAACCTGAGATAGGTAAGGGTTAGGTAACTGTGTCTGAAACACAACTGAGCATTAGAAATGCTTCAGTATTTTAAGGGAGTTCAGAAAGGGAAAAGAGTGGCCCTCCCTTCTCCAGGACAGGGAGAAAGCGTGGGGATTGACCCAACCCATTGAGAAAGCACCTCAGTTTTGTCACCGGGGCCTCTGATTGAGGGCTTATGTATCTAGTTCTTTATGTTACTGAGAGCTACTTTCTTTTTGTGTCCTATTTCTGTTTACGTGAAACTGTGGGTGTATGTCTGACTGTATCTTGTCTTATTTATATCCATGTCCATTGTGTATATCTGTCAGTCGTGGTGGTGAGCTAGGGGAGAAGTGAGTGAAGACTGACAAGAGATTTTTCTCAGATTGGAAGAAATTCTACTGTCAGAGCCTCCTTGGCAAGCCAAGGAGGAAGATGTTCCAGAGGGAAACTACAAGCTTTGTAGGAAAAGCAGGATGGCTGGGCATGAGGACTTTCATTTCAGTCCCACCACTTCATGCAGGAGGCCTGTTACCTTAATAATTAAAACTAATTTGGGATCAGCGTCATCCAAAATTAACTTTAGATTAGGCGATGTAGATTAAGGAAAACCTAATTCATTAAGTTAAGCAAGAAGAAATTAAAAAAGGTGAATTTTATTCACCAACTATCTTTTTTCTTTAGTCATCTTTAATAAGTATTCTGGAGAATTGGAAATAAGTTAACATTGTTCTTTTGTACTTACAGAGCCTTTTGTTAGTGTTTCTTTGAAGCACCATGTTAATAGAGATGAGCCATTCTTGTAAAATATTTTATAACCTCCCATTAAAATATATGTAGGAATAATGCTAACATCTAACGCTAACCCAAATACATTACACTATTATTTGCTTATATTGCAAATATTTGTTTTTGAAATTTCAGCATATAATATGTATTCATAGGATCAGTAAACTTGCTTTATCTTCCTACCTTATTACCCAAGATATTCTACATTTTATAGCCTTTTCTAAAAAATATAGCCTTCCATCACAATTGTAATGGCTTCAGTCTAGGTGTCATTGATAAAAAATTGTTAGGCCAATAAATAAAATAAATATCATATCACATATTATAAAAGATAACTTAATCCACACGTTCTTAGTTATTTATCTTTAGCTAGAGTTGAAATATATGTTTCAGATTCAATTAAACATGAACACTCATGCTTTGGATTCTAACTATTGGAAGAGGCTCTCTGAAAATTTTGTGAAAGCACTAAAAATGGGCAGGGTTGGTCAAATCCCTTCCTGCCCAATCCTTAGCCCTATATTCGTGACACTCAATTAATGTTGAATGAGAGTTTAATACTGTCTAGAGCACAGAGGGAGCATAGCTCCCTCTTGTGTGTGAAATAGAAGATGCTACCAGCAGGGAGAGGAACTCATTCATATATTCATTCATTCAACCCATAGACTTATTAGTATATGCTACAAGCAGGGGATGCAAAGATGGAGATTAGAAGCTAATGGGGAGATTGATGTTCAAATAATTATAATACAGTGTAATTATTGTGATCGTGGAGGTATATTCAAAATGCAATCAGAATATTAGAGGTGGGAACATCCACACTGGCCCAATGGTTTCAGAGGAAACTTCACAGAGGGGGTAATATGAGCTGAGACTTGGAAGGGTGAAAAGGTCTTTGCTAAGGGGTAAGAGCATGCCAGGCAGAGGAAATAGCATCTACAGAGGCATGAAGACTTGAAAGAGCATGTCAGATGCAGGGAGAGGCCAATAGTTGAGTATGGCTAGAGGTTAGGCTAGGCCAAAGATAGAGATGCAATGGTAGGTGAGATCAGATAACAGAGGATTTTGTATGTGATTGTGAGGTTAGACTTTACCTAGAGCAAAGAAGTAAAATGATTATATTTGCTTGTTAGAAAAAAAAATGTTCTGCCACCAGGCAAGATAGAATGAGGCTGAACTAGGGCAGTAGGGAAGGAAATGCATGGATGGCTTCAAGAAATGTTTAGGAGGTCAGATGGTCTAGCTTTCTGATTTATTTTATTGGTACAGTGGTGATGCCACCAAAGAGACAAAGAAAACAGAATAAAAAGCAGAGCAGAGAGAGTGAATTCAGTGTGGGACCTGTTAAATCCGAGGCATCCATGTGAAAGCCAAGTGAAAATGTCAACAGGGTAATTGGACCTTTTGTGTTTGGAGCCCAGGTAAGAGATCTACCTGGAGACATAGATTTGAGATGCAACAGCCATGGAAATAGATGAGTTTACCTAGGGAATCATGAAGAGTGCTAGAAGAAAAAAGCCTAGACAGGCTCCTGGGAAACAGAAATATGTCAGAAGGAGGAAGGACTAGCAAAGGAGCCACAAAATGAATGGCCAAAGGCAGCAGACCCAGGAGAGCATAGTGTCATGGAGACCCAAGGAGGACAAGAAAGAGGGAAACTTCCACAATGCCAAATACCACAGGGAGGTCAAGAAGGATAAGAAGTGAAAACTTCCCTTTGGATTTAGCATGTGGTAACCTAATGGAGAAGTCGGAGACTTCTCAGAGACAGAAGCCAGATTGCAATGGGTTGAGGAGATAAAACAGTGAAAACACCAACATAGTCTATTCTTCCAGAAAGCCTGGCTGTGAAAAGGGGAGAGTGGGATAAGACAGTAGCTGGAAAGAACTAAGAAGTTCAAGGGACAGAGTCCCTTCTCTTTGTGCGCCTAAGATGGGAGAAATTTACACAGCCAGCAGAGAAAGAGAAGCTGAAAAGTTGTAAAGAGAAAGGGGATGACTAATGAGAAAGGTGGTAGTGAAGGCAGGCAGGATTGGAGTGAGAGCCTAGGAGGAAAAGAGATACCTGTTCCTCTGGAATGGAAGAATTGAGGAGTTAAGAAAAAAAGCAAAACTCCACATGAAAACTGAGACTCAGAGGTTATGTGACTTGTCCAAAAGATGGGATTAAAAGTTCAAACTGTCTGTCTGACACTATGCTACCCCCAGAGACAGCATAGGAGGTGGCCCGGCCTAGGAGGAGAGTGGAAGGCTGGGAGCCTTCCACAAGGTATTATAGAAGAATCACAGAATTTAGAACTAGAGGGGACCTGGAGATCATCATATCCAATTGCAGATGAGGAAACCAAGGGCCAGGGAGGTTGTCATTTGACTGCCCAGTGTTTTAAAATTAGTGAAGAACTGGAACTGGACCCAGAACTGATTCTAGCCCAGGGTTCCCTCCAAGAAGGATTGGATAGAGAGAGAAATGGAGTAATAAAATGTCCCCTATTTCCCATCTATTGATGTCACTCTGTTTCAGGTATTATTCTTAGCACTTTACACACACAATCTTGTTTCACACTCACAATGACCCTGCGAGGTAGATATTATCATTTCTATTTTGTAAAAAAACCAAGTCTCTGTAGGGGCCAAGTAACTTGCAAGAGGCAGAGGCAGAATTCAGACACAGAGCTGCACAACTCCAAACTTACTGTTTCACTGCATCGCTGAACAAGACACTACCAGGTCAGACTGTAAATAATGGAGCCTCCCAGGCAAACCAAGGCCCCAGTACAGATCACACACAGGGTTATTGGTAGAGCTGGGTTCATCGACTGTAAGATGAAGTGAACTTGATTTTGTTTATTCTAGAGTTGCCAGAGTAGGAGCCAGGGTGCTTGAGAAAGCTGGACAGACCAGTCCGAGGAGTGCCAGGACTGGGAATCAGCCCTCTGATAATGTAGTTGGATTAGATACTTAGCAGAGCTGTCTGGCTTTTGTTCCTTTGGGGACTGAGAAGGAAAGCCACTTGTTGTAATCTGTACCATCTTTCACCCTTATGCCTTCACTTGATAGTAAACATAGATCTTTTTATGTCCTGTGATCTGTCTGATTGTGCTGGAGGTCTGAGAAAGATAAAAGAGAATTATATTTCCTAAGACAGTCCCAGAGGAAGCAGAGAAGACTCGAGGGTGGTTGTGGCCCTGATTTAGGGGACCTACGGGTTAGGAAAGGAGCATGGGGCAACAGAGACTGATTGCCAAGACCCCCGTTCCCTCACAGTCAAAACGTAGGGAAATGAATGGCAGAGGGGCAGCCGAATGGCAGGAGCGGTATCTGGTGAGCTCCAGAGATGAGGGACGCGGTCTGGTTTATGCTCTGCTGTATCTTCAGCACCAAGAACAGTGCTTGGCACCTAGACATACACATCTATTGTCCTACAGCATACGCCTCCCCTGCACAACCCCAGCAAAATGGCTACTTTGGGACACACATTCCCCTTCTATGTGGGCCACAAGCCGATCTTCCCAATGGACACCACCTTGGCCGTCGTCATTACCATCTTTGTGACTGCACTGGTCACCTTCATCATCATCCTGCCTGGCATTCGGGGCAAGATGGTGAGAAACAAGCCCAACCCTGGAGACCCCAGCCCCAGAGAGATCTTGGCCTCAAGGTGAGGGGGCCAGACTCTCTGGCTACAACCAGACTCAGGAAAGAGACTCCAGTCCTGAGAAAGTGTCACCCACCCCCACCCCCAGGAGGGAGTTCCCTACTCATTGATTCAGTGGATAATAATTGAGCACCTATTACATGCCAGGCACTTTGATCACAACTGACCAAGTGACCTCAGTTTTAGAACATCCCCCTACCACCACCACACACACACAAGTCTGGAAAGAGGAAGGGTGGATTTGGAAGGAGGGTGTTCCTTCTAAACCCACCCACCCTGTGACTCAGAGGCTGTTCTGGCTGTTGCGGGTGGTGACCAGCTTATTCATTGGGGCTGTGATCCTGGGTGAGTATAATCCTGGTCAACTGCCTCTGTCCCATCTAGTTCCCTCAGCAGTCAGCCTGTCCTCTCCTTGTTTCCTCATGGCATCTTCTGCTTCAGGGGAGGGAGGGGGGGTGGCATAAGCAGACTGTCACCAAAGGAAATCTTGGATTCTGACCCCTTTATTCATCTTGGGCAAATATACTGTTGACAAACTAACCATGAGCCAGACCCTGAGCTAGTCAACAGATATACAGTTAAGAGCAAAACAGACCTAGACCCCTTGTAGCTGTCCTTCTGACTCTAACCCAGGAATGCCTGGACCTTCCTGAGTTCCCATATGTCCAACTCCCCACCCCAGCTGTGAATTTCAGTTCTGAGTGGTTCGTGGGCCAGGTCAGCACCAACATATCATACAAAGCCTTCAGTTCCGAATGGATCAGCGCTGATGTGGGGCTGCAGGTTGGTCTGGGAGGACTCAACATTACACTCAAAGGTGAGGGATGGCTCTTACCTGTGAGGGAGGAGAAGATTCTGCTGTGTCTTTGGGATCTAATTTGGATCTACAGGATGGGGGGATGGTAGGAAGGGAAATTTCCAGAGACTGAGACCAGCTCCTGTCCCTCTGCCCAATGTGATGAGCCCCTACCCAGGCAAATGCCCATTCTGGGCCTTGGGTTCCTGCTGAGCACAACTGCCCTATTCCCCAGGGACCCCAGTGCAACAGCTGAATGAGACCATCAATTATAATGAGGAGTTCACCTGGCGCCTAGGCAAGAACTATGCTAAGGAGTATACAAAGGCACTGGAGAAGGGGCTGCCGGACCCCGTGCTCTACCTGGCTGAGAAATTCACCCCGAACAGTCCATGTGGTCTGCATGGCCAGTACCGCCTGGCAGGACACTACACCTCAGCCATGCTCTGGTGAGGGTGGGATGGAGGTCCTGCTGGCCTAGACCCAGGAATGGAGTTTCTACCCATCTTCCTCCACTTATGTGGAAATCCCTGGTGGGACAGGGTGGCACCAGCCCCATGGTGCTTGGTTGGGAAACCTATAGGCAGAAATCCCTATCTCACATCTTTGGGATATTTTTGGGTCCCTGAGTCTCCACCTGGGCCCTTCCAAGTAGAGGTGTCCAGGCCAGCCTTCACTGGGTCCTGGCTCTCCAGGGTGGCATTCCTCTGCTGGCTGCTGGCCAATGTGATGCTGTCCATGCCCGTGCTGGTCTACGGTGGCCACATGCTGCTGGCCACAGGCATCTTCCAGCTGTTGGGACTGCTCTTCTTCTCCACGGCCACATCACTCACACCACCCTGTGCCCTGCACCTGGGTACTGCTACGCTGCACACTCACCATGGGCCTGCCTTCTGGATCACATTGACCACAGGTGAGGTGCAGCCCTGAAGACAGACACCAGAAGGCTTAGGGCCAGGGAAGGAGGGCCAGGGACCACCAAATAAGTGGGGGTTGAGGATCTGCCTCTGGGGACCAGGATGCCTTTCCTCTCATTAAAGCCCCATCCCTCTTACATCACTCATCTCTGGGTTTTATCTCCCCAGTACCACCTGCCTCTCCTCCATAGATGCCTACTCCCTGTGTCTTCTGTCTCTGTCATTTCCCTCATCCCCTAACTCTCTCTTCACCCAGCTCTTTCCCAAATCTTCCAGTCTTATGTCCCTGCCCACTTCCCCCAAACACTCTTCTCTGTGTCCCCCATTCCTTTGCTTTCCTTCTCTTTCCCTTCCTCACGTAGCCTTAAAATGTCCTGCAATTTCTTCTCTTCTCCTCTTCTCTCATGCCCTTTCTCATGCCTCCTCCTCTGTGTTCTGCCCTTCCCCAGGGTTCTCTGTTTTCAGAGTTCTCTTTTTTTTCTCTCTCTCTTCTGAGATGTAATGCAAAGAGCACTGGGCTTAGAGTCCCAAAACTCAGAACAACAGAGAGCCACACCAGCTGTATGACCCTAAGTCCGTCACTGCTCTGAGCCCAAGCTGCCCTGAAACAGGGATACCAGCGATTCTCTTTGAGTTGTTCTGATGCTCTTGGGAGAAGATGTCCTTGGGACAGCATTACTATCACCAAGGCGGGACACCTGTTGTCTCATTCCCAGGACTGCTTTGTATGCTGCTCGGCCTGGCCATGGCAGTGGCCCACAGGATGCAGCCCCAAAGGCTGAAGGCTTTCTTCAACCAGAGTACAGGGGAGGATCCTTCACTGGAGTGGAATCCTGAGGAAGGGGGACTCCTGAGCCCCAGATACCGGTCCACAGCTGAGAGTCCTGAGCCCCAGGACATTCTTCTGTCAGAGGCTTCTTCTGAGGCATGGTGTAAGGAGGAGCATCACAGAGAGTTTGACTGTGCCGTATAAGGTTCTTCTCCCTGGTGGACACCTGGACTTCCAATCTGGTTGCAGATCTCATTGGAGCCCCATAAACCTGCCAGAACTGACTGCAGGATGGGTTGAAACCAATCTGTCCCCAGCCCCAATCTGCAGGTGGAGTAGGAAAAAGAGCCTCTTTCTATTGATGTAAAAACAAAAACGAAAACAAAAAGCCCTAATATGCTAAACAGACATTGGGGCTGCCTATCAACCCTGTCTCCATGTTAAGACCAAGCAGGTGCTGCCCATTTCTGCACAGCAACCCTGCCTTCCCTTGATGCTTGCCTCTTTGAGGGGCCATTTATTGAAACTCAGCTTCATCTATATTGTGTGTGTGTGGGGGGGGAGGTTACTGTGTGATTCCCATGTAGTCCCCCTCATCCCTCTGTAGCTCTTATTTTCCTTTTTCCTGGGTCCCTTTTGTTCTTCTTTTACTTGTGTGATCTCTTGATACAATGAAAGCCCTGGGCAGCAGAAGAAACCAAACTTCTTGTCCCAGGTCTAATATTAACTAAGTGTGCTACATTATCTTTAAGCTTAAGCTTCAGTTCTCAAATTTGCCAAATAAGATTGTAGGTCTTGCCAAGGACCTAAAAAAAAAAAAAAAAAAAATCCCAGGATTTACATTTTTATGCCTTGCTGACAACTACCTTAGCCCTTGGACACTACCTCTTAGTTAGTGAATAAACTGGAGTTAGTAAATGACCTCAGAAATGCCATTCCCTCCCACTCAGCTGAGCCAATGGGAGGTTGACCTGTCTGGTCACTGCTACCTGCCATCCTCCTGGGGCAGCTCAGGAAGATGCTGGCTCCGAAGGGTTCCCCTTTGGGCTCACTAGAGGGCGCCCCTCTCCCAGAGCCTTGTGGCGAGGCAGAGAGAATGTAGTAGGCTGCTTCCAACCCAGGGAAGTCGGCCGAGGACTCATATACCCCAAGCCTGGAAAAGCCATTGAATGTAATAGAAACAAGTTTAAGAAAAAAAGAAAAAGAAAAAGGATTTATTGACAGATCACCTCGGAAGACCCTTTTTCCCCGGGCGTGGGCGTGCGGCACGTCTGAGGCCGCCCAGTTTTCCCGGCGCCCGCGGCGCAGTGACCCTCCTGGAGCTAGCTCTCCTGGCCCGAGCCCAGCAGGTATTGCTACCCGGCCTGCAGGGGGCCGAGGCGGGGTAGGAGTCCGAGGTTGAATAACCCTCAAAGCTTAGTACTAGTCGTTAAGTCCAGGGCTCCGAACTGCTTATGCAGTGGGTTGTTCAGGATGAGAGGGAAGTTCCCTTTCGCCTGGCTACCATAGTCCTTGCCACTTCCGTCCAAGAAGGTGCGGAGAGCGCTGGGTCGAGAGTAGTGGAGACTCACCACCGCCACTCCGAGGAGGAGGCACAGGATGCCTGCGGCGGCGCGGACAGAAAGAAACAGGGTAGTCAGGGCTCCGGGCCAGAACCTGGCCTGCCCCCCTCCATCTCCTGGGGGCTACCCCTAGCATTTCCTCCCCCAACCCACACGGCAGAAAGACCTCTAATATGGATTACGTGATACATGAGTTCATGCGCTAACTGGGGCAAGCCACCGAACCCTTCAGAACCCCCTGGCCTCATCTGTAAAATGGGCATAACTGCCTGCTTCTAGGAACTATTAAGAGGAGCAAATTAGATAATATATGTGAACTCATTTTGCAAACGGGAAAAGCACACATCAGCTCCCACGCCCAGCCTCCCGGAATCCGCCCCCTTGGTCCTCACCGGTGGCCAGGGTGACCCAAAAGGCGGCGCCGTAGTGAGTGGTGAGCGTGGAGGAGCCGAGGCGGAGCGGGCAGAGCTGCACGCTGGAGACGGAGGCGAAGGCGAAGATGGAGAAGAGCGTGAAGGCGCCGGTGGTCAGGAGCGCCAGGCCTCCGTAGAGCGGGACCGGCATGGAGAGCAGCGCGTTGGAGAGGAGCCAGAAGCAGAACGCCACCCTGCGGAGGGGGCCCGCCGCACTGTGAGCTGGCTTCCCCCAGCCTCGCTTGCTCTGTGTCCCTACCCCGGAACGAAAGCCGGGGCTGGGACGGCGAAGGCGCAGGGGAACCCTCCAGCCGAGCAGCCGACTCCCAGGCTTTGCTGGGGCTCTCTGGGTTCCGACCGTCTGAGCGGTAATTCTCACTCCCCGCACCATAGGGCTGTAACTCTACCTCACATCCTCTGGCTCACACGCCCCCGCCCCGACACTCCCTCACTCACAGGTGCCTTCCCTCCAGCGCTCACCACAGCGTGGCGGACGCGTAGTGTCCCGCCAGGCGGTACTGGCGATAGAGCCCGCAGGGGCTGCTCGGGGTGAACTTCTCCGCCAAGTAGAGAACTGGATCGGGCAGCCCCTTCTCCAGTGCCTCCAAGTACTCCTCGGCATAGTTCTCACCCAGACGCCAGTTGAAGCGCTCGTTGTAGTCTATGGTCTCGTTCAACTGCTGCACCGGGGTCCCTGCGAAAGGAGGGCGGCCGGGGTAGTGGAGCTGCGCACAACCCGGGACACCGCAACTAAGCTAGTGCGCGTAGGAAAGGGGAGGTGTGAGAGACATGGGTTTGGCAGCGGTTGCGGAAAACACGGATCCGTGAGGAATAAAAACTCTTCGAGCCCGTGGGGTCTGAGATTTCCTCCAGCTGCCCCTGCCACACTCCCCCAGCCATGGGGTCTGCCAATCCAGAAGTTCACTTTGCCCCAGCCCCCTCACCTGTGAGTGTAATATTAATTCCCGCCAGGCCGACGTGGAGACCAACGTGAACGCTGACCCTTGCTGCACTGAAGGCCTTGTAGGATGTGTTGGTGTTCATCCCACCCACTGACCATTGTGCGCTAAAGTGCACGGCTGTGGGGAGAAACACAGTGTCGGGGGAGGGTTAGGGAGAGCATTGGGGAGATGCAATGAGGAGAGTGGTGATGGCAGGTAGGACACTGTGAAGAGAGATGGAGGGTCTAGGGGTCCAAGGTGGTATACATGGTAAGGGTGCAAGAGTGGGCACTAGAAAGAGCTGAAGAATGCAAAGAAGGAGCAGGAAACAACCCCCAAATCTCCATTTTCCCAGGTGCCCTCTGCCCACCTCCATCCTCACCCCAGGTCCTCTCCCCATCTGCTGCACCACACACTCACCCACAATTTCCGCGCCTATGAACAGACTGAGAAGAACTCTCACCAGCCAGAACCAGCGCTGCAGGAACAAGCACCTGGGTCAGGTCTGGTAACTGCCCAACTAGAGTCCCCAAGACCTCCCTTGACCCCATGCCACCTAGATCTTTAGTGTCCCTGCAGCTGTCCCCTCTTGCCCCACACCCTTTTCCGAGTTACATTCCTGAGGTTTTAAAGCCAAAGTCTGTCTTGCTTTTTGTGCAAGTCCCTCTGAGCCACTGACATTTCTGATGTTTTCTAGCCATGCACTTCTGCCTCCCTAGCCCCATTTCCCAGTCCACCCTGCAACCTGGCTCCCTGCCTGGTGTTGTCATATCACCTTCACTCCCCCAGCTATCTGGCTCCTGGTCCTGGTCTTGCCAGCTACTCGAGTCACTACTATGATGAGGCTCAGTGAGTCCAGAAGTGCCAGGCAGGCTGGGGTCACCTCCCCCAGGAGAGGGCAGCCCCAGGGTCCTGTCATAGAGGAGGTGGGAAAGCAGCCTCTCAGATATTCTTAGGTGCACCAGTTTCCCAAGGAAACCGACACAGATCAAGACTCAGGGAGGCTAGGTACTCCTAGACTGGAAAAACAACTTAGGTTCTGGGAGAAGGGGGGGGTGGGGGTGGTCCAAGGACAAGTACCCAGTCTGTTACAACTTCGAATCATTTGTGGAAGTCCCCGAGTCCTTAGGATGGGAGCACCCATACACATGCATCTCAACCCAGCACACCAGTGAAACACAGCAGTCTCAGCTCTTGGTCCCCTGGTCATTACCTGAAGGCTGAGATTGGAGTGCAGCCGCAGTCTGAGGAGAGGAGGGAGACTCTAGCAGCATGTGAAGACTAGAATTAGCCCCAGGATTACTGGACTGGGCACCCACTCTCCGCAGCAGCCTCCTGGATGATCCAGGTGGGGTCAGTCTCTAGAATGTCTTATACAGGGTCTCCATCTCTCCCAGTCCTTGGGCAGGGAGGGGTGCCGGCTGCCCCCAGACTTCTGGGTCTGCTCCACCTATGCTCCTCTGGTTCAACATTTCATCTGACTATTCATGGAAGCCCTTGTTACAGTATTACCTGTCCTAGGTCTTCCAGAGACAAGCTGCCCATGACCCTCAAGCCCTAGCATCTAGCACCCCCTTACCGAGTGACCACGAATCCCAGGCAAGATGAGCAGGAAGCTGGCGGCCAAGGCCAAGAACACCAGAATGACGATGAGCAACGGGACGCTGAAGCCGGGGGCATGCCGGGGCTGGGGGTAGAAAGGCAGCTCACCATTCCACAGAGTCATGCTGCAACGGGCCAAGCTTGGTCCGCTGGAGACGGAAAAGTGCGAACCTGGCAACTGAACCCAGGTCCCACTTCTCTTTACCGGTCCCCTGCGTTCTTGGACAGGATTTAATGGGCTGGTCAAGTCTGAGTTGCTCAACTCGCCCGTAAGGAAGCCTAGTGGCTGGCTGCCTTCAAGTGCTCTAGGTTGGCCCAGGCAGGGTTGGGTAGGTGGGAGAGAGGAATTATTTCTCACTGGCTATAGCCAGTTACTTTCACGGCTCTGTTTGGAAGTGGTGCAGGACCTGGAGCCCTTTTATAGCAGCCTGGGTAGGTCGCTGGGTGGATGTCAGGGCTTGGCAGCTGGGTGCGGTTGGAAAGAGATCTTGCAAATAAGAGGCGAGGCTACTATGCAAATGAGGGAAGCCCAGCCTCCACAGTAAGAGGGCTAGCCTCCCGCCCAGATGCGACACTTGGCACTGGTCTGACCTCAGCGGACACCAGGGCAGCTGGCCTTAGAGGATCCAGAGAAGAGGGTGAGAGTGCTGCTGGGGAGGATCTTCAGAGCTCGGAGGGGCTAGGAGGGTGGGAGTGGTGCTGTGTTGGGAAGATGGAGGCTGGGAGGAGGGCAGAGAAGCAAAGATTCCAAGAGGAAAGACTTCTGACCCCAGAGAGGGGCCCTAAACCAGAGGTTGGAAGGAGTTTGGGGCCTGATTGTTCCATCCCTCCTGTCCATGCACAGGCATTCACAGTAGAGTAGGAGGGGCTGCAGGTCCCGGTTCCCAGCTCACTAACTGCTTTCCCTTCCCTGCCTCCTCTAGGAGAAGCAGTTACTGAGGGCTTGGGGATGGAGATAGGAGGTTGGGAGTTGGGGGGGGGGGTGCTGCCTTGGACTGATAAACCACAGAAGATTAGTGCGGCCGCAGGCGGAGGGGTTCTTGGGCCAGTGTTAGTTCTTCCACCAGGTGGACAGTGGGGACCAGTGTCAGTACCTACCAGGTGTCCTGAGAAGAGTGGCATGCCGATGTGGGTCCTTGGTGATGCTTCTAAAAGCTTTGCTCCAGAAGTGAAAACAGCAGACACCTCCTCCCCAGTGCGGGCTGTAGGCATGGGGGACACCAGCTCCTTGTCACTCACTTTTCACCTCCCACCTCCCAGGCGGCAGGGTCAGCATGCTCTGCGCAAGGCCAGAGGCAGTGGTGCTCCTGGGAGCTCTGCTGACTGCATCCCTGGATCCAGCGGGTATGTATCCGGTGCCCCTGGCTTCGGGATGTCACCCTGTACCTCCTGAGGCTGGGGGAAGAAACAGATGCAGGCGAGCTACAAGATCGGTCAAATCGCAGCGCCGCTCAGCGGGATGGGAAACTTCCCAGGGCAGCCACAACGCCGCTCAGGGGTTGCCTCTCGGGTAGGGTTGGGGGCGCGCAGTGAGCGGAGAAGCGCGGGGGGGAAGCCGTCGCTTCCCGGAGCGGTCGCAGGGAGGCTAGCGCTGAGGGGACCATTCTCTGACCTGCAGGCGGCCAGGAGTCACTCCCACTGTCCTGGGAAGTGCAGCGCTATGACGGCTGGTTCAACAACCAGAGGCATCACGAGCGTGGCGCAGCAGGTGCGTCCTGTGGTCCGGGGGCGGGGGGATTAGGTAGGGGGCCGGGCCGCGGGAGACCGGCGCGGAGAAGCCGGGCTGTCTCCGCAGCGAACTCCTACGCACTCCTGGGGCCAGAAGACCCTGGCGAAGAGGGTCTCGCCAGTGAGGATGGGGATTTGAGGTAGGCGTAGGGAGAAGCTTGTGGGCTTTTTGGGGACGGGGTGCTCTGACAGCCCAGCTCCCTGCTTCCCACAGGCTTCCGACTGCAGCGCCTCGTGCCAGCCAATTACGCGGATGGCGTTTACCAGGCTCTGGGGGAGCCGCTGCTGCCCAACCCGCGCCTACTCAGCAACGCCACCATGCAGGGCACAGCCGGGCAGCCATCCCACCGCAGCCGCACGGTGCTGGGGGTCTTCTTTGGTGAGAGCAAAGTGGGAGGACGCCGGGGGTGAGCCGTCACTTAGCTCAGCGCCTGGGGAGAGGGGCCCTGCGGCCAGTCTTCAAGAGCACGGGAGACAGACCCAAGACTCCCAGGCACCTCCTCCTCCGCACTAAGCAACACTTCCAGCCCTTCTTTATCTCGAGAGATTTGGGAGTGTCGAGTCAGGGATATTCGCTCCTCTAATCTCTCTCTTACCCCTTAGGCCAAACCTAGGAGTGTCATTGGACCTCCATTATAGCTCTAGGAGTTGAGTCCCCTGCCACCGCTCTCCTACCGTATGATTATATCCTCTTTCCTCCGAAGAGAGAGGGGGAGGCAAGATCTGTTGGGAGATGGGAATTGGGGTGGGGGAACCCTTACATTAATTATATTATTTTGATTCTTACAACAATGTTATGAGGTGGGTGGAGAGAGCACTATATCCCCACTTTGAAAATTAGAAAAAAGACCCGGAGCTGGTGGCAGAGCTTGTACTCCAACATGTCTTCTGACTCTTGAGAAACCTAGAGAAACTCCCTGCCCACGGGGAGTGGCGGTTCTCATCAGTTTGGCCCCCATGGCCGCAGGCTACCACGTGCTGTCGGACCTGGTGAGCGTGGAGACCCCCGGCTGCCCAGCCGAGTTCCTCAACATCCACATCCCGCCCGGGGACCCGGTGTTCGACCCCGACCAGCGCGGGGACGTGGTCCTCCCCTTCCAGAGGAGCCGCTGGGACCCCGAGACCGGACAGAGCCCCAGTAATCCCCGGGACCTGGTGAGACGAGGCAGGCGCGGTCCCGGGTTCGCGGCCAGGCCAGGGCAGGGCGGGGCAGGGAGAGAGGCTCCCACCCCCTGGCGCACCAACACCCGCCTCCGCTGCCCGACCCCCGGCTCACCCCCGGCTCACCCTCGCGGTGCCCCCCGCAGACCAACGAGGCGACGGGCTGGCTGGACGGCAGCGCCATCTATGGCTCCTCGCACTCGTGGAGCGACGCGCTGCGGAGCTTCTCCGGGGGGCAGCTGGCGTCGGGGCCCGACCCCGCCTTCCCCCGGAACGCGCAAAGCCCCCTGCTCATGTGGACGGCGCCCGACCCCGCCAGCGGACAG